GAGGTAAGCAGGAAGAGGCCATGGAATGAGGGGAGGTGGGTAGGGGGATATAAGGGATAAGGAGAGGTAGGTAGAGCAGTGTTAAGTGGGAGTGGGGAAACCAAATTGTGAATGGGGAGTGGGCAAGGGATAGCCATGGGTCAGTGAAATTTTCAAGGTGCCAGATCACAAGTGTGCCTGTCCTTCATCCTACTCTCTCTAGCCCAATCCTAGCTAAGTTATTTGGGTTGATACTGTCTCTTTCTCCCTAGGAGATGAAAGGGGAGAAAAAAGGGGTAGGCTAGAGACATCGTGATGTTGGGGTGATACACAGTGGTCATGGTCTTAGCTCAGTTCTCTGTCCATTTCAGAGACTCCCCTGGTTTCCCTCAGTGGATGGGACAGGACTGAAGATGAGGCTTAGGGGACCTGAAGGCTGTCTTCTGGCCTCTAAAGATTGCCATGTGAAAGGAAATTAATCTTACTCTGATCGGCCCCAAATGGCAGCACTGAGAGCGATTCTTGGAGGTTGGGTAGAGGCAGATTTTGGTTTGATGTGAGGTCCAATTACAAATACAAGACTTGAATGGGCTGTCGCTGAAAGTAATGGTAATAGTTAAGACTAGCTAGTGCTTATATAATACTTTGCAATCATTGTCTCATTTGATCCTCACAACAACCCTGGGAGGATTTTACAGTTGGGGAAACTGAGGCAGAGGTTAAGTGACTTGCCCAGGGTCACACAGCTAGTAAGTGTCAAGGGTTTGGTCTGAGGCTGGATTTGAACTCAGGTCCTCCTGACTTCGGGGCCCAGTACTCTATCCACTGCGCCACCTAGCTGCCCTTGAAACTGGATTTGAACATGGGTCTTCCTGACTCTAATCCTGGCATCCTAGGTGCCTCATGTGGCAAATCTTCAAGCAAAGAGTGAATGACTGACAGGATGACCACTTGTTGGGGTGTTGAAAAGGGAACTCTTGTTCAAGTATGGATTGAACCAGATGCCCTCTGAGGTCCCTTCCAACTCCAAGATGCTGTGATTTCATGAAAACCTTTCTCCTAATCTTTTATTTTAAATAGGGTTAGGGTACTAGACCTATAATGTCATCAGTACAGGGAATTACCAGATAAGGAAACTCCTACCAATGCTGGTCAAGACTTTCTCTGTCTTATGAAAGTTGCCTAAAGTACTGAGAGGTCAGTCACATGGTCAGTGTGTATCAGAGAAGAGACTGGAAGTCAGGTCTTCCTGGCTTTCTGTCCAGCCCGCTACACTTAGCCTTTCAGTTTAAATAACGGTAATCATGTCTCAGAGATAAAAAGTGCAGCATAATGGAGAGAGAGCCAGGACCTGAGTTCCAGTCCCTTCTCTGACACATCCTGGCTGTGTAACCTGGGACAAGTCACTTAACCATTCCGTGCCCTCAGACAAGTTTCTTAAGACTTTAAATGGAAAGACATTTGCAGATCTGTGGAAAGTGGACTCATGAAGAGAGCCAATAAAATCACAGGTCCAGAAGTAAAAACTCATGTCTTTCCATTCAGAGAGCATTTTAGGTTTTGTAAAAATACTTCTCCATTTGCCATTTCGGCTGATCCTCACAGTAACTGTGAGGTAGGAAGGCTTGTTCCTTCCCTTTCTCTTCATGGCTGTGAGGGGCTTGATTGGGTCATCTTGCCCGTTCTTTGAGGGCAGGTTCCCTTAGATACAAGGGATACTTACGCTGAAGATGTCATTACCCGTTTTTTAACCTCAGGAACTGAGCTCAGAGGATGACTTTCTCAAGTTCACACCTGTCTTTAGTAAGAGGAGCAGGGCTGGATTGCCCAAGTCTCCTGAGATGTCATCTCCTCCTACCCCACTCTTCTGCCTTCCCTATTCTATGCCCTGAAGATTACCTGTCACTCCCATCATCATCAAAACGTGGATAAGGGCTCTGGACTGCAGAGATCTTGTAGGCAGACACAGCCTCTGCCCTCTGGGAGCACTGTCCAAGGCTGATGAGGACGGCCACAGACAGTAAGAGACACATGGAGAGAATGGTGAACAAACTCTCTGCGTAATGAAACAGGGACGGTCTTGGTTAAGGCCTGTTTGAAATAGGGAAGAACCGTTAGAATCCCTTCTTTTCTCCTTAGATCAATTTGGAAAGATTTTCTGGAGGGGAGGATAATTAAGATAGGAGACAGGAAGGTTGGAGTGGGGAAAGAAGGCTTGAGACGGGGTTCTTCTACGTGACTTGAAGAAGATATTGCAGTAGTAAGTACATGGTATATAGAGCCAGTTAGGTGGCCCAGTGGATAGAGAACTGGGCCTGGGGTCAAGATAGACCTGGGTTCAGATGTGACCTCAGACACTTACTAGCTGTGTGACCCTGGACAAGTCACTTAACCTTCGTCTGCCTCAGTTTTCTCATCTATAAAAGGGGATGATAATAATAGCACCTACCTCTTAGGGTTGTGAGAGTCAAATGAGATGATATAAAGTTCTTTGAAAACCTTAAGAAGTTACATAAATAAATTCTAGTTAATAGTAGCAGCAGCAGCAGCAGCTACTTGGTGAAGTGGAAAGAGCACAGCCCTGAATCAGGAGGATCTGAGTACAAATCCAGCCTCAGACACTTACTAGCTTTGTGACCCTGGGCAAGTCACTTAACCCTGATTGCCTAAAAGGGGGGGGGGGCAGGTAGGTGGCACAGTGGCTAGGCACCAGCCTTGGAGTCAGAGGCACTTTAGTTCAAATCTGGTCTCAAACCATACACTTGACACTTACTAGCTGTGTGACCCTAGGCAAGTCACTTAACCCCAGTTGCCTTGCCAAAAAAAAAGAAAGCCAAAGGTAGTGACAACAAGAAAAGCTTTGGATTTGAAATCAGGACCTATGTGTGATTCCTGGCTCTGCTATTTCTTGCCTGTGTGATCTTGGGCAAATTATCCCTTTATGCCATCCCTTTGAATGGCAGTTTACTATCATTCTATAAAATGAGAGGTTAGACTAGCTTATCTTTCTCTTTTTTTAATATTGCACTGATTTTTTTCATTATTACATTGCTATCATTTCCCCTACCTCCCCTAAATTGAACTTCCCTTGTGACAAAGCAAAACAAAAAAAAATCTGATACAGAAACCTTGTCCTACAATGTATATGACATTCTGACCTCATAGTCATGTCACAACCTCCTGCCCCACCCCATTTGAGGGATAGTGGATAGGCTTCAGAACCAACCAACTGAAATACTTTCTATGAGACGGGTGTTTCATTCTCTCTCTCTTTTTTTAAACATTTTTATTTAAAGTTTTGAGTTCCATATTCTATCCTTCCCTCCTCTTGCCCCTCCCTGAGACAGGAAAAAATCAGATGTGGGTTATACACGTGCAACATGTAAAACATTCCATATTAGTCATTTTGTACAAGAAGACTTGAATAAAAGAAAAAAAATGAAAGAAAGAAAGTAAAAAATAACATGCTTCAGTCTGTATTCAAACGATATCAGTTCTTTCTCTGGAGGCGGATGGTGTGCTTTTTCAGTCGTCCTTTGGGATTGTCTTAGGTCATTGTATTGCTGAGAATAGCTTGAGTTCTTCATCAAACAATATTATTACTGCTACTGTGTACAACATTCTCCTGGTTCTGTTCACTTCACTGTGTATCAGTTCATGTAACTCTCTCCAGGTTTTTCTGAAATCATCCTGCTTGTCATTTCTCATAGCACAATAGTATTCCCTTACAATCATATACCACAGCTTGTTTAGCCATTTCCCAACTGATGGGCATTCCTTCAATTTTCAATTCTTGGCCACCACAAAAAGAGCTACTGTAAATATTTTTATACAAATAGGTCTTGTCTCCCTTTTTTGGATGTCTTTGGGATATAGACCTAGCAGTGGTATTGCTAGAAAGGGTATACACAGTTTTATAGCCCTTTGGGCAGAGTTTCAAATTGCTCTCCAGAATGGTTAGATCAGTTCACAACTCTACCAACAGCAGTTTCCCACATCTCCTCCAACATCCAACATTTTCCTTTTTTGTCGTATTAACTAATCTGATAGGTATGAGGTAGTACCTCAGAGTTGTTTTAATTCAAATTTCTCTAATCAATGATGATTTAGAGCATTTTTTCATATGACTGTGGATAACTTTGATTTCTTTGTCTAAGAACTGCCTGTTCATATCTTTTGACCAGTTATCAACTGGGGAATGACTTGTAATTTTATAAATTTATCTCAGTTATCTATATATTTAAGAAATGAGGCTTTTATCAGAGATAATTATTGCAAAGTTTTCCCCCAAGTTTTCTGCTTTCCTTATAACTTTGGTTGCATTGGTTTTGTTTGTGCAAAAAACTTTTTTAATTTTATATAATCAAAATTATCTATTTTAAATTTTGTAATGCTTTCTATATCTCCTTTGGTTCTAAATGCTTCCCTTATCCATAAATCTGACAGATAAACCATTCTATGTTCTTTTAATTTGCTTATGTTGGCGCCCTTTATGTATAAATCAGGTACCCATTTTGACCTTATCTTGGTATATAGTGTGAGATATTGGTTTATACCTAGTTTCTGCCATACTGTTTTCCAGTTTTCACAGCAGTTTTTGTCAAATAATGAGTTTGTGTTCCAAAAGTTTGTGTCTTTGGGTTTATCATATACCAGATTACTATGGTCATTTACTATAATGTAATTTGTACCTAATCTATTCCACTGATCCACTCCTCTATTTCTTAGCCAG